GCTTGGGACCCAATTATGGGTCATGAAGCACCTTGGATAATCTCCAGAAATCAATTTAAAAGGATAATAAAATAATTGCTGATGTAATATATTCCCTATAATTATTACAAAAACACAAAATAAGTATAAATAAGTATTTATATTTGTGTACAAGCTGTTTAGATTGGGAACCACTGCACTTTGGTTCCCAAAGTTGGGCTTGGGACCCAATTATGGGTCATGGAGCACCTTGGATAATCACCAGAAATCAATTTAAAAGGATAATAAAATAATTGCTGATGTAATATTTTCCCTATAATTATTACAAAAACACAAAATATGTATAAATAAGTATTTATATTTGTGTACAAGCTGTTTATATTGTCAAAAACCCTGTGTTTTTAGGGTTATTAACAGTTTGTGTACTCAGACCAGTAATATTTGGGGTCACAAGTTTTTGCCATGGATAGTTTGTGGGTCAGAAGATAAAAAGTTTGGGAACCACTGCTTTAGGGGAACTGTGCCCACCACTGAGTAAAGGTCAAAAATAACTGTTTAAAGCAGAGGTTCTCAAACTGGGGTCCCAGGACCCCCAGGGGTCCGCGAGCTGTGTCTTGGGGGGGTCCTCAAAAAATTTCAATAAATTGTTAATCTGGTTTTTATTTTAAAAAACGCATATGGGGAATAAGGCACTAGTAAAACAAACATACAAAAAAAAACAAAAAATAATATTACCATAGCATTTAGGGGTTAAAATAACAGTGAATTATGTTGAATTAACAGCATGGTGTTTAAGAGGGGGTCCCTGGAATTCTAGACCCAAAAAGATTGAGAACCCCTGGTTTAAAGCAATGTCAAGTAACATTAACACCTTTAACTCATTTGTGATGTGAGTGTATATTTGACCCTTATTGTCAGGCTGATTGAACTTTCATCACTGGTCGTGTTTAAAAAGTTCAACCAGCCCGTCAAAAATTAATACAAAACAAGCTGACACAAGTGTCTGCATGTCCAACCACTTCACTTCTGACATAATTCATCAACTAACTGGTTTTTTTTTAGTGCTTTCAGCTCCGGCAGGAATTAATCTGTTAACTGAAAAAACTGCTGAGTGGACAAAATGCAAACTCTGGTTTCTTTCCTCTGACAGACACCAGCTGCTGAAATGTTTCACTGCAGGATTCAAAGACGATGAGCTCATTTGACTGGAGTGGAGCGGATAAAAGACTGAAGTGGACGAGGGCTCACCAGGATGAAGTCAGTCTGATAAGTGGACAGCATGAAGACCGAGACGTGCTGCTGGGCCAGCGGGGCGATGACCGACTTGGCGATCTTGGTCACGCCGACAGCCTGCGAGCTGCTGGAGACGCTGCCGTTGGAGACCACGTTGAGCGGCAGCCAGACGGAGCTTTCGACCTGGAGGTGCTCCGAGGGCTGCAGCTCTGAGAAAACAGTAACTGTTGGTTAAGAAGTCTGCCCACGAACAGGAGGTTTTAAAGCTTCTGAGCAGTTAGCAGCTATAATTTAATTTAAATGTTTTTTTTTTTCACTTATGCCACATCTCAACACTTGGACACAATCGCCATCTCAAAAATATAAAAGGCATGAATTGTTAAGAAGGAATTAAACCATTATAGTTACGTTGTAAATTGAAGATTCCTTTGATTGAATTTATTTACTGGAAAAAAAGGGGCCGAAATCACAAGATTTTTTCTTCTTTCTTTCATTGAATTTATGATTTTTTTTTGTATGTTGAATTTCTGTTGTTTTGTTTTAAATGAATAAACTTTATAAGTAAATAAAAAATAAAATAAAGTAAAAAACAAGTCTGTTTATTGTGCAGGAGACCTCAAACATGTTAAGTTCAACAAAATGTCAACATTTTGATTTAAATTGTTTTTATTGTTCAACCAGGAAACATTTTGATGAGGCAAGCTGACAAAATAAAGCTCCGAATGGCATTTCCATCTGCAACAACTTCTGTTTCTTTCTCCTCCTTCAAAAGGCCTCTGTTCTGGTTGGCGTAATTCGTCAAACAGCCCCTTGTGGCACCCAACTCCTTAAAATAGGCCCTCTGAACAAGAAAAACCCAGAGGCAATACAGGCCTTTAACATCTGTATGTGTGTGACAAGGCAGCAGGAGCAAAACAAGAAGTTTTGTTTTTACTGATAATCTAAGCAGAGTAATTAAGTGCAAAATGTGCCGTCATACAGAGAACTGCTCATTCAGGAGACTAAATCCAAGGGCTGCACAATATATTGAAAATTTATCGTCATCGCGATAACACCCTGGAGAAGAACCTCAGCTTAGTCTGTTAGCCTTTGCACTAGCGCCAACGCTGTATTGCCTTATATTAGCTCAGCGCTATCACAACAAACAAGCTAAACTGAGGTCCTCCATCCATTTTTTCAGTTACAGGCTGAGTCATTTTTGTGTTCCCCTCTGTCATGTGGATGGAGGACCTTAGTGACGAAAGGAGAATGTGTAGCGCTGAGCTAATACATATATATGGTGATAGCGTCGGGGCTAACGCTAAGGCTAACAGGCTAAGGCTAACAGGCTAAGCTGAGGTTCTTCTTCCATGAAGCAGCTCTGTTGTCCTCCATCTATATTTTCAGTTCCAGGCTGAGTCATTTCTACCTTCTCCTCTCTGTCAACGCTCTCTGGTTTCATTTGTCGATCGTCAGATATTGTCCAAGATTAACCTTCAGGGTGGATATAGCTCGCTAGCAGCCTCACACCGAGGACCTATCCAAGTCATTTACCCAGAATGCTTTGCGTGTAAATAAAATGACCCCAACCGTGTAATATATTTTTAAACTTTTAGTTTAAAAATGATAAAAACTGAACATCCTACAGTATTTTTCCAGTCTTTATTTTACAGTTAAAATATATGTTTATTATATAAAGTCTAATGTTACAACTAATCATGGATCCCTTTAAAAAAATATATGCTGGAATGGAAATGATTCGGTTTTTGTTTGTTTGTTTGTTTGTTTGTTCTTGCACTGAACCCAGAGCAGAAAGACATCAACACTACATACGTACGTATATATTTGTTCATTTATCGTAAGTCATAACGTCATCGCAATATAAGCACAAATCACGTTTTCCTAATTTTGAACTTGGCAACCTTGAGAGACAAGGTGAACTTGACTCGAGAATTGTACTAACAAGTCACTACTTGACTGTCTCTGCTACAATTTACCTTTAACTCCTAAGTCTTTTTTTTTGCAGGCAGCAACTAATAGATCTAATAGTTTCCTCTCAGTCACAATGGACGGGTGGATAATGCATTAAAAGAACAAGTAGACACAAAAAACAAAAGCATTTTTCACAGATTGTCTAATAAATAATCAAAAAATGATAGTTACTTTTATACAAGTTGCATTTTATTTACCTGAGAAATTATTTGATCATCAAGGTTTTTTTTTTTACCTTTGTAGGACACTAAGAGCTGCTTTAGTGCCAAACAACATGAACTTGCTGTCCTTGTTCACATGATATTGCATCCTGTGCACTGAATTATGTGGTGGTCTACACCCATCTCTGAGTGGGAACAAGGAAGGAAGGAACCGTGGAGAGGTAAAACAGCACAGCGCTATCTTGTGACCCAGTTCACAACTTGTTCGAACCGTTCTTCAAATGTCTACTGAGCAAGAGTTGAAAATGTTCTTTTAAAAAGGAGGTTTATGTTTTGGCTGCTTTAAAGGGGCAATATCATGTAAAATCAACTTTTTTGAGTTTTATATCATGTTATAATGTTATACTCTCATAAAAAAAAACATGCCCAAAGCCTTGCTTTGACTCATTCATGCATGTTTGAGAAATCCTGCGGCGTTTTTAGGAAGCCAAGCTGAGGAGCAAAACGACTGGTGGGGACCAGAAACGCCTTTGGGGACCAGAAACGCCCCTGGGGCGTGTCTTTAAGCCAAACTTCCTCATGACAGGGCGCACCCCATCCCCACACACCCCGCCCATGACTCCTGCAGGCTCTCGGGTGAAAGTAAAAGTGAAACTGTCTGCTGAGCTCTCAACATTAGTTCTCACTCAGTGAAGCTCTTTTCAGATTAAAAATACCTTTGAGGAAATGTATTTTCAGATGCCAAGTAAACTGCATCATGCCCTTCCCCCCTGCACTGAAATGGATGGGACAAAAGCGGAAGGTGGTTCTTAAAGAGACAGAGGCCAATTTCAAGGCGTTTAGAAGAGGAAGTGATGAGAAGATAAGTTTATTTTCTATTTAAACATAAAAACAGCATTTTAATAACAGCTAAAGTTGACAAAGATACTTTATTATGGTATAGTATTTAAATGTATGCCTGAGGAACATATAATATCGCCCCTTTAAAAAAGTGTTCTGCTGAACAAAACAAAACAAAAAAAAAGAAAAGAAAAGAGCATCTTGTACCCAGATGGAACAGTATTTCATCTTCAGAAGAAAATGCATACGTTACCTTTGAATCCTTCTTCGTCCAAGACAACTGTGTAGTTTTCTGGCGTTTCAGTCAGGCTAAAAAACTTACATCTGAAACAAGAAAAAAAGCAACAAATTGAGCAAAATATGAAAACATGAAGTTGTGTATTTATAAGCTGTAAAAAAGTGGTTTAGATCTTTACACAAATATCAGTACTCTGGTAAATATGAAGTTCTTTAAAATGTATTTCTGATCGAGGACTGACAGTTCAGTTTCTTTTTTTTTTAATCACTCATTCGTTGCGTCCCTCTGTACACCTTCCTTATTCTGTCTCTGTCAGCGTATGCCATTAGAGCAAAGACCTGAGTGAAAACAGCCAAACCCCTGACTCAGCAGAAATGTTCCTGCTATAAAAAAAATGAGACAATCCCACCCAGAGAGACAAAGACAGAGAAAACGCTGCGACTCTAACTCCAGCTGTGCCAGCAAAGCGAGCGGCCTTTTGTGCTCCAAAAGCCCCATCAGTTCCTGTTGACCTTTCACCTTCCTAGCTCGCAGCTTCCTGCACATCATCATGCCAACAAGCATAACCTCATGAAACGTTAGCAGCAAGTTGACACTTTGACAACCTGTTTGTGAAGCAACTGTGAATGTTTGGCTTCCTGTTCGCAGAGCAAAGCAAAGATAAGCATCGGTTTGTTTCAGAATGCACAGAAACAAAAACTTGTGCCTGACGTCACATTTAAACTTTCCCTTTTCTTTATCTCCACATTATCAACAAGAAATAAATCAGAACATTCCTATATGATCGGGTCTAACCGACGACAGCCTTAATCTATTGTGCAGAACTGCAGTCTGAACATGTTTGAAAATATTAATCCGCTCAAATTAGCCCACACATCACTCACTGAGACTATGGCTTATAGCAGTAGCTCTGTGGTCAGGTTTTGTGATCCTGAGGCTGCAGGGTCAAGCCCAGGCTACAGCAGGAAGGACAAAGGGTGTAAAAAAATTGCCAAATCATCACTGCAAAATAGGGCTGCAACAATGAATCAATAAAATTAACAAAAATCTATTAGTAAAGGTGTTCGCAACAAATTCCATTATGGATTTGTTGTTGTCAGGTGATTTATGATGGTATTAATTTAATGATTAAGATTTAAGTTTTAATTTGCTCACAATGTCTGAGTGAAGACGCTTGCTTGAACCTAAATAAAACAAGGTATTTATTGAAGGTCTGAAAATCAGCCACTGTCTCCTTTTGTTCTGCTGTGAGCATGAATGTCCAGTAGTTAAAACAATCTTTAACTGTTTCCAGGGTATTTTTCAATGTATTTCAATAACATTGGAATGTTGAAGGTGTATTGTGACCTTATAAAACCTGACGGTGTCTGCGTTTCCATTGTAAATGTGTGCAAAACTTTGTCAATATTCTGTTAATGTCGAAATTGTGGTGTTTCCATTAAATAAGAAATGCTATTAAACTCACGTGTGAATATGTTTGTTCTTGCGATAAGTTGTTACAAACATGGTGGCAATGGACGTAAACACATAGCATGTTGCTACCACGACACTAGCGCTCATCATCAGCCATCAGAGGACACGTTGGCATCTTATCGAGGCTTTCGAGTGACAAGCCCCTTAGACTTGGGAGTGGCTTCATATGCAGCGTTTTTAGGAAATTGTAGTCAGTGAGTTTACTTCTTTCTTTTACAACTTTGTTGATTTCACTACTTTTACTTCCTGTTGTCTTCTTTGTCGTCGTATTTTTCACCAGTAGAAACAGCCGGTTGTTGATCACGTGACTCCCGTGATGCGAAAAGTGTTTCCATTGCAGTTTTGTGAAAAACACCAATTTCGATACAGCTGAAATACCACCTCATCCTAGCGCAAAAACATTTTGTCGAAAACCTTTTTTTTCTCGAAATTGACGTGTTTCCATTGATCAAATTTATTTTCGAAATTCTAATTTGCGCTTTTTCATGGTCAATGGAAACACAGCTACTGTGTCAGGTCAGAGTAAGAGGGAGGATTTATGATCTTTTTCAACAAAAGCTGGTTGAGAAACCCTGACCTGTTTTACATATAACTTTAACCAACACACTATGTGAAACTGTCACAGAATGTTGCAGAAAATAAATGTCCGATTTGATGTGTTTTTACAGCTCTCTGTACCACAAAGTTCCAGTGATCACTGCTGGTAATGGGTTGGAAAAATAAGCTCTTTCCTCTGTAGCAGAGACAAAATAACTAAAAAGAGATGAGAAAACAGCAGGCAGAGAGGGAGCAGCCAAGTGGATGAAGATGAAAACCGAGTGCACGAGACTCTGGACTTTGATCCAGCTGAACAAAACAACAGGTGGCAGCAACAGTACCGGATGGAGGACTGCTGCTGGTGGGTTTTGGGTTGGGGTGGGGGGGATCAACTGATGTTCCAGCTGAGGAAACATGATAAGAGAGGAGAAAACCGATGTGAAGTGAAGCCTGAAGCTATATCAAGCCTCATCATCAAAGGACGGTCAAATTCTCTGCTAGCTGCAACACTTAGCAAAAAACAAAGTTTCTAGATGTTTTTCACAATCTTAGCAGCTCCACATTATAAAACCAGAGGAAGATCACTGAAGTAAACAAGTGGAAAATTCCCCCAACTGGGTTTCTGGCTCAGCTGACACAATGTTACAGCCCATTCTCTGGTTAGTTAACAGAATAGTGGTGCCTGCAGGGCCGCAACCACAGTACAGAAAGACAAACAGAAAACTGCCCTGATGCTGAGCTTTTATGCTTACCTCGCCTAAAAAGTCTGAAGAACATCTAGAAACAACAGGAGGCTAAAATCGCCCTGTTTTTCCAGCTTTTGTGGGAAGACCATTTATTAGGGCTGCAACACAGATACAGAAAATTCACGATTCGATTCGGTTCAATATTTAGTGTCGATGGTTCAATAATTTGTCTATACAAAAAATAAATAAATAAATGTCCATGCCCTTTTTAACTTGTAATTTATTTAAATTAATTATGAACATTTCTTTAACCTCTAAAAGTACAGTTTTTAAATTAAATGTTGCTGAAACAGAAAGTTTCTCAGTGGATCGGCGCTCGACAGTGCAG